TCTGTTGAAGTAATGTTATCGGCAATTGCGTAGACTTCATAATTACATTGTAAGGATCTTTCATTGCTTTCCCTAATTCAGATTGAAATTTTTGTAAAGCATTTTGAGAAATAACTCTTGAATTGCCAAACCATCTCTGCGAAGGTTCTACACGAGACATAGTACCAGATGGCTTCCATCCTTGGAATGGAGCTGGACTAATAATATGTCCTTTACGATCACGCTTTGGTTTTTGATTACGGTACATTTGTAACCTTTTAATTGTTGCTTTTGTTCGGACCTTCGCTACACCTTTTAATCCTTCTGTAGGTCGTTCAGGATTCATGCTGTGTCCAGAACGTTTAAATCCCTCTTTTCGAGGAGCTTTGTTTGTTACATGTGACTTCGCCATTTTGCCTAAAAAAAAAAAAGTATTCGTAATTTGGCTTCTTAATTTATTTCATCAGTTGCATCGATTTTAATATTTTATTTTCCTGCTTTACTGTAACTTAAATTATAATCAACTTTTTCAAATATTTAATTTCTTTGTAATGAATTATAGATGTTATAAATTACATTAATTAATTTAAATATGAATTTGAAGATGTAATTTGGAAGCTATTCCCAGCCGAAAAGCAGAAGTTATAATAAATAAGATAAAATAAAGTACGAATTTAAAAATCATATTTACCTTTCTTCTTTCTACAATTACTATAAAGATCTTTGTTATGCTTTTGTCATAAAAATATATGAAGTTTCATATATTTGGACATAAATAATTGAGGTTAAGTTAATATGTGCACGTGCATAATCATATAATGATATATACAGGTTTACACTAGGTTTGGAAATGTCAATGGAAGGGGTAAGACTCCTAGCTGTCAAAAAAGCAGCGACAAGAAACGGTACATCGAGTTTTAAGAGGTTATTGTAAAGGGGAGGTTTCGATTTTCAAATCCATGACTTCGCACATAAAAATATTTTTTCAATGCCAGTAGAGCACCTTCAGACTATCAATATATGTATACCGTCAACATTTCAGGGTTCTCAACTAAAAGTATTAGTATGTATTGTCAATACAATATTGTCAATATTTATTGAGAACTTTGAAATACTGACAATATTATTAATCGTCTGAGAGCACTTGTAGGGACGTTTGAACTTCTAAAATTTTAAGAAAAAAAATCCATTTTCACTTTACTACCCGCTACGTAATGTAAAATCATCTGAGAAAAAGATGAACTCAGGATTGTGAAGATTGAAACTTCATGCATTGAAATGAGCCCAGTTGGATTATAGGACAATTTTTTTTCACGAAGTTTCAAGTTTAAATATCGACAATTTTTCATTAAAAATTGAGTGATTCTTTAATTTTTCACACTAGTGCTTATATATTGGTATTGTAATTAGTATATAACATTTATTACTGCAAATTTCTACAATATGGAGTAATGGATTGAACAGCCTTTTGTAAAAAAATCTTTGAAAATATTAGTGTAGACAATAAATTTTTATTATAGAAGGAAGAGTTATTTTAATTAAAAACAATTATACCTATTGGAAATGTGTTGTATATTTAAGGATATTACAAGTTTGAAATTACAGACATTTACTCATATAACTATTCACAAAATTTGTTATATATGTTTGTACATATTTAATAAACAAGATTCCTTAGGAAGATACTGATATATTATGAAAGAAGCATGATATATACTTATACATAGTTATTTTAATCATAAACATAATTACTTAGAGATTTAATATTTATAATACACCCATAAAGGTTCATTGCACATAGTATAAATAAAGCAATATTATAATTATACTGCGGGACCAATGGTCTGTGGCGTACAGAGATATCCTTGCTGACACTTTAAATAAACCATTCATCGTCAGGTCATGCGTCCTCAGCTGATATCTTAAAGTACTAATAACACAGTATGTGCTACTCACAATGCATGAACAAGTCATGTGTACAGAACTTCACAAGCTGGCATGAACTATTGTATCTTTATTGTTTTTATTATTAGGCTAATTTGTACAAATTACTTGTCTCAGTTTTGTATTCAATCATATAATACATTTTACATCATTTCACACCAAACCAACATCAGAAATTGCATAAATAATGCAAGTATTTTTATCTTTTCAAAACAAGGTCAAGTAGAACAATTTATTTAATGCAAATCATTGAAATATATTTCTTTATCTTCTACAATGGCATTTTATTAAACTTCTTTAATTCATTATCAAATTTTACAGATGTTTATATTATTCATAAAATGATATATTATTATAATATATTTCAATTTCCATCTTTATAATATTAAACAATGTTGCTATATACCTTCCTCATACTTTCTTGACTAGATAATGTAAATCTTATCGAATATAATTACTTAGCATATTTTAAGTATGTATACGCAGCATATGCCACTTTAATTAATATACATAAATACCACTGAAAGATTTTTTACTTAATTTTAAAAAATAACTTTAAATGCTTTCGGAAAATTCATATGCCAGAAATCAGTTAGAGAGTAAACTCAACTTAAAGTGAGTTATTTATCTAATAATTGTATCACTAACAATTTTAATGATATTTATGTGCATTGATTAAAACGAGGTCTGTATATATAAAATTTTGATTAGTAAATTTGTCGATTACTACATGCATTCTACATTGTCACATTAATACTTTCATAATCTTATTATATAAAATTCAAATTATCATCAAATTTTATTAAATGAAAATTATCACCAATATATAATTTTCGCTTCTAAATTATGAATTATTATACAAAAATTATTGTTATACGAAATTATAATTTAAATATATTTCATATTATGATCATAAAATAAACATATGTTTCTAAATAATAAATAATTTTATATAAATTTTATATATTAAACTTACTTAGAAGTCAGTGTATTCGTATTTTAATAAATAAAATTTATTTTACAAATAAAGTCTTACAAATGAAAAACATGTAAAATACTATTAATTTTGTTTATAATTTATATATTAAACTTATTATATTACTTATGTGTTATCTACTGTTATTGTATGTAAGTTAGCATTTATCGATACTGTATATATATGTTTATAGCCTTCTTTCTAAATTAAAAAATTGCATGAGTTTATTTTATAATTTAGAAACACAAATATTTTTCTACTATAATAATATTTAGGAATTAAACCATCAATTATATAATACTTATGTGTTACACACATTATATATATACATATATCTTACTCTAAATTAAATGTTATAAAATAAAATCTTCATAATTTTTCAATTTGAATTATCATATGATTAAAATGGATTTATATCACAGTAAATGCAGTTACTTATATGTAGTTGGATATAATTATTTTAGTAACTGCATGTAGAATTGAAGATATTAGACATTATTTTTAAAAATTTTCAAGTAGATTTTCTCATTATTATGTTGTATACTTATAGTTTTGCTTCCTAATATATTATGCAACATTTGTAAACATTTTGAAAAAATTTTATGTAGATTAATAGAAATGAAAATGAGTCATCAAATTTTGCAAAACAAAAGGAGGAATAAATTGTGTATTTACATTCAAACTTCCACGTACTTTGACTGGATATAATTTATAAATATTACTATTTTGAGTAACTCATAGTTGGTTAATTTTTATTAATATGGGTTTTATATCAGAAGTTATTATATAAGACTGATATCGTATAAAAAAAGTATGAAAATTTCATTCCAGTGTATAAATGTAATGATACCCTACATTTCTTATAATTTTACGGATATGAAACTACATTCTGTTAAATTTTTAGCAATTAAAATTAGATTTATATACATAAATTTGAAAATAATCCATTATTGATATACCAAAAAAAATATATTTTGTTTAATTAAAAATATCATCATTAGATAGGTGATAATAATAGATAATAAACATATCATATTAGGTACACAAAATTCAATTTTCCTAATTGTTATCAATGATGATAATTAGAATAAAAGCATAAAATCAAGGTAGTTGATTGTATAAGTTGACTTTTTATATTATGCTGTACTGTTCTGTAAATTTAAAGATGAAGAATTATTATTCCATTGCATGTACAACAATTTTTGAATAAGTGATCGCATGTTTTTGCAAGTTTAAAAAATCCTATTATCTTTGTTTTTTTTCAACATAAATAATAAGTGATGTCTAATAAGTGATACATTAAGTTTCATGTATTACTTAGTAATCAATCAAAGAGATAATTTCAATTATTTGATTAATCATTTTTCAACAAATTTTGAATTTTTATACTTATAATTAGAATTTTATGGAACTATTATTATTGGATTGCTTTATCAAGATTTTTTTCTTTATCTCAAACTTTATTTCATTATTAGTGTTGATAAAAGAAGACATAATTATATATAATATGAATAAAATTGTATTTTGATTAAGGAAATTTAGCAATTCATTGATAAGAATTTTATGAAAATCTAATTGAAAATATAAATATTAGAATTGTTACTGATAGATGATTTATTAAGGGATATAGATTATTTTTTTAGGATTATTTTCTTCATTACATAACATCTGATAAGGAAGTGTATTTTATTTCGAACAAATGATAATATATGAAGTATGTACCATAATTACTTATCTGAGAGATATTGTAACTGATTGTAACTCTTCTGAGTACTGAATTGAATGTCTAAATTAAAATTTTCCTAAACTATACTCTACAAACATAATATTATATTTATTACTATTTTGCATATTATATAAGACATTAATTAACTAAGATATTTAAATTATTACTTTGGCTATCTATTATATAGTATTAAATAAGATAGATAAAGTATGTTTGTTTCAAACACGCCTATCATCCACACTATATATATATATATATATATATATCTATGTATATATATATGTATGTATATGTATGTATATATATATATGTATCTTATATATATATATATGTACATATATATATGTATCTATAGCACATAAAAGATTATTAATATTTCAAATTCTAAAATATAAAATCATATTATTCTTCTAAAATACACAAGAATTTCTGAAAGTGTATATAAACATTTCTGTAAGTATATGATACTATCTGAAAGGAATCTTTTAATACTTTCTTATACTGTCACTGGTGGTTTGTACTCTTTGTTAACTACATAAAATTTATGTTTTGTTCCGAACAAACCCCATATAACGGCAACATTTTCTATGATCAAATTAAAAGGAATTGTTGATAATGCCCCACATATACATAGTATAAATCGAGCAATACCAAATCGGTATAAAGAAAATGATTTAACTACACCAAAAACATACATATAAATATTTACCGCACCAATAAAAGCACATAGAAAATCTATAAATGGTGGGCAAGTAATGGGATAAATTCCAGCTAATACAATATTCGAAGTAGAAAGCGGCAGTGTTACCCACGAGTAACAAGATATGCCTAGAAGCAGCTTTTTATTTAATGGAATAGCTTTGGAATGTACAACAAGTAATATACCTTGTAACCATCTCTTTCTTTGTTGTACAAAGTCCCATAATGTAAATGGTGACTTTTCCCACATTTCACCATCCACAAAATTAAATGTATACCCTTGGGTAAATGCTTTCATTGCAAAAAAACAATCTTCTGCAACAGATCCATCTAGTCCATTGTTGAAGGAAACTTGTCTTTCTGCACCCATCTATAATAATAAAAATGTTTTTGTATGATATAATATGATTATAATTAAGGACATGATTCATATATAACATAATGAGCAATTACTTGAGTAACAACATAAGAACCTTTCATACTAAAGAAAGGTTTATGAAACATTGTAAATTGTAATCGTAACTTTCCCATGTCATCTGCTACTCTAAAACTGTCTGCTAAGGTAGTAATCCAATTAACAACATCTTCATTTGCATATGTTATTAACCCTTGGCCAAATTGATGTTTTCCATCCAGTACAAAATTCAGTATCCCACGAACAGAATTTTCAGTCAGTAAAGTTTCTTCATCAAGATGTACAATCCAATCGTTATCTGCTAACTCATTGACTGAATTTTCTAAGCAATATTGTAAAGCACGAGCTTTGAACAAAGCACCACTACTTGTACGATAGTTTGGTGGCACAACGACCTCTCTGATTCTTCTATGAGGGTTTAATCCAATTGGCTTATCACTAACTACTTCAATTTGAAAGTTTTCTAAACCAGTTTCTAGACATCTGTTTAAATTCCTTATTACATTTGCTCTCACTAATTGTGGATAATCTCCACGTGTTACTATTCTAATACAAATAAATGGTGCAAGTAATGGCGAACCTTTTAAAACAACTTTATCTGGGAATGCATTGTATATCATTAGTCCTACAAAGTTAAATAAAACTTGCGGAAAGGAAAGAAATGTAAGTGTTCGCAGGATATATAATATAAGTGCGCCAAGAAATCCATATTCAATCCATGGATCAAATGTTTCCTTTTTATTATTATTCCAACTAAGTCCTCCGGTAATCAATTCAAATATGATTATAACAACAAGTAGTAAACAACAGTGTAAAATATGTTTTGTTACACTGTTCAACATTATTTCTGAAAAATAAAGATAAGAGTTTTTTAAAAATAAAGATAAAAATTAGTAAATATACATTCTATATATATATATATTATGTATATTATTTATGTTCATAAATTATAACATACAATTTTTGTTTAAGCATTATTAATCAAAATATGTAAACTCTCTGCTTAAAACAATCACTTCTATTAGCGAATATAAATGAAAGATTTATAGACTAAATAAAGTAAAATGTTATTTATAATACAATACTGTAATAAAAATCAAAATGACACGAAAAATGATCTTCTAATTGCTTTGAGTACTGCATATTTGCTGATAAAAAAATAGCAAAACGTTAAGTTCTACATAATCTTATCAAACTGTACTTCGCATGTATATAACTGACAAATATTGTATATAATCTATAATCTAATGATAGTAGATTGAAAATATGAAATATTGTCCCCTAAAAAGTATTTAACATTTCATATTGTCCTATGCTTTCCACTATTTCTATATTTCTACTTGATTTCATATTTGTATGTGATAAATTTATCATAATGTTAGGATATCAAAAGTATACAAGAGCAATGTAACGTTTCTATTCATAATACATTAATATGTTATTATTACATTATTATACGTTATTAATACATTAATATTCATAATAAGATTTAGATACAGATGGAATAATTTCAGTTTTAGGTTCAAATAAACAACAAAATTATTGCATAAATTTTCACAACGATGCGATAATATTAATGTTTACTAATAATATTCAATTAATCTATTAAAATGTTATTTTATTTATATACCTTTCTTTGTGTAGCCAAATATTATTGTGATATATCGTTAAAAAGAAAGATTTCTCGATTCATTGCCCACAACAACAAATAAATGTAAATGAACAATAAAAAAAAAACTAATTTATGTACCGGTATGAATAAAAAATATTTTCATAATTTCAATAACACACTACCATCGACTTTCGTTGACTCAAAGAATCACTTACATTCCAACATTCTTCAATGTTTTACAGGAAATGACTAATTATCAATACGAGATAAGGAAATCAAATCAACCTATGAAGTTGCGATAAATATTGAAATTTGACATTAAGGTAATACCACTTCGACAATTATACTTTTCTTTTTACTGGCTTTAACGTCTAATATAAACCTCTTTGATTGGTCGATGTTACTTATGCGGATAAAATTAAATTCATAATTTTTATATCTTTCACCGTTAAGTGTTATTTATAGATATAACGTGCATTTGTATGTTACTGTTAACAATGTATGAATATAGCAATGGATTATTGAAAAATGTAAGTTCATGTTAATAATGAAAGTAAAATAAATGTGAAAACAGATTAATATCAACCGTCAACCACGATCGTATACATAGGTTCAACACTCGTTCAATTTTTGGTGGTGGGGGACGTCATCATTTTGATGTATATTAATTCTCTTATTAGCCGTATGGCGCTATTAGAAAATTTCTTAATGCGCATGTATGTTCAGCGATCATTATCGTTGCCGCTCAGCGACGTAATGCGAAAGTTGAACGAGTGCTAAACCCGCATCCCGAACGCAAAAGCAGGCGATTGGCCGAAATTCAAAGTGAGGAAGAAAGCTCTGAAAGATGAAACATGGCGAAACAAGCAACCAATGAAAAATTAGTAATTGGGCAAGGAAGTGATGACATGGAGATTGAGGGCATCCCATTGGTTGACACATCGCACAGACAGTATGAAGAGAAGTAATCAGGAGTGCAAAAATCATAGGAAAGGATAGAGGAAATTAATTAACGAAGCAGGCGAAGAAAGCAAAAGAAGAAAATAAGAGTAGAAAACAGGATAAAGAGCTCGAGAAAGACCAGATAGGAGACATTTCCAGTTATACTATATATGAAAAATAGAGTCCCGAGGATCTGAGCAAAAAGATTCAGTGGTGATAGAAATAAGTTATAATATAACAATGCAATACATTTATGGATGCAATGTTGAAACTATATATGTAATGAATTAATAATAGTCAGCACAAAATAGGATTAAGAAATATTTGAACACTAGAAAATGTGATAGAGGATAGAAATAACATGGATTTTCAAATTATATTTTGGATAGTAATAAAATAAAGAAATGGAAGTGAACTGAGCTAGAGACAGTTGTAAGCCAAAAAGGAGTATAATTTTGCCTGTAAATTGGAACTGAAGAGAGGAAGAAGGAATGAGAGAAAAAAAGAATGAAAATGAAAATGAAATGTAACTAAGAAATGACGTGAGCGAGAAATGTTTTTTGTTAGGCAAAATAAAGGTAGATAACCTTTGATAAATCTCTTGCAAATATCCTTGTAAAACCAAGGAAAGAAATAAAATAAAATTTCATGAAAAATGACCCTCATTTTTGGCTTTAGAGACCTAAAATTTAGCAACCGAAAAGACATGTACAAATAAAAAATTTTGCAGTCCGAATACTCTACCTTATCAGAAGATCAAAAGATGAAAAATAATTGCAGGTAATGTTATTATCTTAGTAAGATAATCTCACTCACTTTGTCGTAAAAAATACAGTGCATTAAGTGTGCATATAGTGCTTTATGTGTTAATACAATGTTTATATAATAATATAATAAGCTCATTTTTTTATTCCTAAAAACATATAAAGACTGCAAACATTGTGGTGCCTATCTGCTTAACAGTGTTATCAATCCGTTATCAGTGATAACCATCTGCTAACTTTTTTTTTTCTTCTTTTTATTTTATTATTATGTATTATTATATAAATATCCGTATATTTCGTTTGTACTTCTTGAAAGTACAAGCGTCCACTATTGTACCATCTGCTACCTGAGTAGAAATTGTAAGATAAAGTTCACCTTGAAGGCATTTATAAGCAGAGAGATCTGTACCATATGCCAACTGTGTAGTCAATGAATATATACTAATTTAGATTTTCTCTGTACACTAAGAACTTTAGCATTTTAAATATGTTTAGTTGCAAGATAATTGTTAGTGTTTTATTTTTGCTTTGTATCGCTAAGACAAATAGGTGAGTAAAAAGTGTTATTTGTTACAATATACATGTGTTCCTGTTTTGTGATATATATAAAGCGATACAATGAGAAGATGTTTTTCAACTTTCTTTCATTTCCCATTATTCGTAACATAACACGTCCTTTGTGTGTGAGAGAGAGAATATCTTTTATATATAAAACATGGTTTTCACAGTGATGAGAACTATTTGAAGGCCACAGCAGGATCAAATGACTTCGATGTTTTAATTTTTACACAACATTGGCCTCAAACTGTTTGTTATACTTGGAAGGAAAACGAGGCATCGCACACGTGTTCATTACCGACAAAACGTGATGAGTGGACAATTCATGGCATTTGGCCTTCTCAATACCATAAAATCGGCCCACAGTTTTGTAATAAATCGATGCCTTTTAACGCTTCAGCTTTAAAATCAATAGAAACAGAATTACAAGAAAAATGGATAGATATAGAAAATGGAAAAACATCTTACTCCCTTTGGAAACATGAATGGGACAAACACGGTACTTGCGCGGCAACCGTGGAACGTCTAAATAGTGAGGTCAAGTATTTCAAGGAAGGTCTGAATTTATTAACAAAGTATAATATGAAAAATGTATTAGTACAAGAAAATATCATACCTGGACAAACATATAACACGAGCGATATTTTGAATGCTATTGAACGAATATTAAGTAAACGAGGCTCATTAATCTGCATAAAAAACAAGGTAAGAATTTATTTATACATCATATAATATCGATATTTGATGCTTAAACTTATTAGTATAAAAAATATTTTAGGACACTGGAGAATCATACATATTTGAAATACGAATATGTTTTGACAAGATGTTAGAATTAATTAACTGTGATGAAACTTATGAATATCCTACGAACTGTGATCTTTCTGGATATGTAACATATCCTGATAAACTGCCACAAGGACACAACGTAGCACAGGTGCAATTGTAGTATAAATTAAGTTTCTAAGATTATATCTTACAAATCGGTATATTCTAAATTGTTTGTTTATTTAATATTCTTACAGAAATTACAAATACAGAATGTTTTGAAATACTGCCTTTTTATAAATTTTTGGAGAATATTTTACAATCGTATAGTATCTTAAAAGTTATATGGTTGACTGCATGGAAAATAATAGCTGATATTTATTATGATCATTCTACTTTTTTCTGAACAATTAAAACTGCAGATGGTGTCAGGCCTGGAAGTACAATAATAATAATTAAATAATTGAGCCTTGTACCCTTTTATCTTTATGTTATTATAAGAAAATCATAGCTAATTCAGAAGATCTTAATACTATACTATTACATACTAGTAATATTGTATTACATATTATTAAATTCCACCATACCTAAAGCATTCAACGGAGCTTCATAATCATCTTCCATGAAAATTTTCTTTGGGAAAGCTGTCATTAAATTAAATGGACCAGATGGATCTGTTCTATTAATTTCTATAAACAATCTCACAGCAGATAACTTCTCCTTACTTCCAAAGCTTTGCGTTAATGTTTGTCCATTAGTAAGCCTAATCTAAAATGTTACTATTATGTCATTTAAATATAATGATATTTAGACATTAAGATTAGAAGTAGATATTCATTAATATGCAACTTATTACCTGCAACCTGGTATCATTATATTCCTTTCTATAAGTACTAGTAGAGGATGACGGTGTAGGTGGAGATTCTGTTAATGCTCTTTTGGCATTAGCTTTGGCACGTCTAGCAGCTTTATCAGCTTCAATTTGTTCTTTAACTTTTTGACGTGCTAATTTCTCTTCTTCTTTTTCACGTTTCCTCTCCTCTAACAACTTTCTCATTTCTAACTCCTCTAACCTATAATTGAGATAGACAAATATACTGTGTTCACTTTTGTGAAAAAAGAAAAAAAAAAGGCAACTTACTTTCTTCTAGCCTGAGCCATCTCTTTCCCTGATTTTATTCTATTCTTTTCCCTTTCTTGTGCATCTTTCTTTTCCTGCTCCTCTCGCTCCTTGTTTTTCTGTTTTAACTTCTCTGTTAAAATTCGTAATTGTTCCTTCTTCTCTTCTTCCGTAAGAGGTTTCTTTTCTTCCGTGCTTTCAGAGAATCTATCATGTCCGGACTTTGTTGCATGGAATTCGACTTCCAAGTTAGATTTAAACAGTTTTCCACAACTATTAAATAAAGAATCAAAGTAAATACTTCATTGACATTAACCAACATAAAACATTAGTATATATTTACATATCACATTTCATAGATTTAGCAACTTCAGTAGTAGACACCTGACCACTAGCATCGGCAGTATCTTCATGGATTGATGTTTGAAGATTAGACAGCGTTGCACTTTCAGCAGTAGGTGGGTCAGGTGATGGTTCAGCATCATTTGAATGAGCCAAGAGCCTAAAATAAAAATTAAGATCGTCATCGGACGATGAGAATGAAGCCACGGCCTTTCTCGTACCATTCCATTGCCGGAACAACACCTTTGTTTCCAGTAATTTCTAAAGCTTTTTCTCTACAACAAAATACACATTAAGATAATAAAGGTTATATTATATTAATAAAAGAGCTACTTAAAATACTTACGCTTTAGATATGCTAAAGCCCATATCGACTAACATATTTATATCACTCGACGACATTTTTCTCTATGTTTTCGAAGTCTTAACGAATATTTTTCACCAATTCAACAAGAATTCGACAGGCACGCGATCAAAAACTTAACGTCACGTTCAACCGACGCGCTACCTATGCGAATTTGTACGTTGTAAAAGTCTACTGGTAGAATTACCTTACCGGAAGTCACATGTAGTTAAATTTTGAAAGTACAATTGTCATGTTTAAATAACTTTTTATTTATTTAGAATTCCGAAGAATGCGGAAAACATGGTTACAATATAGGTTTAAAATTTTAAAGAAATATTGTAAAGTGAAGAGTAATGATGTTTTATTTTCACTCTAAGTATTGTTTACAGTCAACAAAAACATAAAAATGAGTTATACTTGTTGTTACATTTCATAAATCATACAAGTCACTAAGAACTTTTAATACAAAATCGAAAGAAAAAAAACATACAAAACATAGTACAGTTATGACAGTTTGGTTAATACTTAGATAATAGATCTAAGCATAGGTAAAAGACTTCTTTTAAGTAATAATACAATTTGCTATTACATTATCGCTAAATAAAAGATGTTATTCAGTAATAAAATAGTAGATTATACCGTTAACTAAAATAATTTTACAACAAATGTCTGATGAAGCGATGGTAATCTGATAGGGTCCAGAGATTATTTTGTTTTTCTTTAATGGCTCAAGAAACAAAGATATAGCCCTAAAGTACTGTTAAGTTAGAAAGGTTATTCTAATGATTATTAATATTCCTGGGATGTTTTGTCTCCCTTTCCAGATCCACCAGTACCGGTTTTCTTCGGCAGAAGCACCGCTTGAATGTTAGGCAGGACACCACCTTGAGCGATTGTTACACCCGAGAGCAGTTTATTTAATTCTTCGTCATTGCGAATAGCTAATTGTAAGTGACGTGGAATTATCCTGAAATAAGAGTATGAACATGTGTATTGGGAGACTTATATAGCGTTGAAGGGTCGCTTAACTTTAATCGTAGGTATATACAAATATGAACATGTAGCAAGTATGAAATTTACGTGCTTCCCGTTAGAATGATAAACAACCTATCATATCAGTTCACTTACATTTGAAAGTTTTCTCTCAAAATCGGAACAATGAACAGTGTACAATGCTACAAAGAAATAACTGTAAGATTGATTTTTGCGAATCCTATATGAAACTGGATATTATATCCAAATGTAAGTGAAATTTAATGAAACACAATTTTTTTTATATCATCCTTTTTAGCTACAGAAACTACATAAAAGTATCGTGTAAGTGAAAAGAAAAAGAATATTTGTACAATTATGGAGAGAAGGAAGATACGGATAGATAAATAGATAGATAAGTAGAGAGGGGAAGAGGGGAAGAAGGGCTTTGCTTCACCAACCTTGTCTTCTTGTTGTCTCTTGCGGCGTTCCCGGCTAACTCGAGTACTTCAGCCGCCAAATATTCCATCACAGCGGCCAAATAAACAGGCGCTCCAGCTCCTACTCGTTCCGCATAATTTCCTTTTCTTAAAAGACGATGGATTCTTCCGACAGGGAACTGCAGCCCTGCCCTACTACTGCGGGTCTTCGCCTTTCCCTTAGCCTTTCCTGAAAGTATACATATAAACGGTTTTCGACGTTTCTCAATAAACTACAATATTACATTCCAACAAAACAGATATGATACTTACCACCTTTGCCGCGTCCTGACATCTTTTATAATACTTTCTTAAAAGTTTTCTTAAACACGAACAACGGTTAATGCTTCTCCTCGGAGTACCAAACAGCGAATGAAAGTCTACCTTGCCCGACGACGGTTATGCGTATGTACGTCAGATATTTTGGCGGCGACAGTTAGGTCGGTGCTCGTTTGCGCGGGAACCTTATTTCTACGTCAATTATACTAGTGGCGCCGCTAGCCTGGCGTTAAAATCCCTAGATGTGAAATTGAAGTTTATTTTAGAAAATGTCCTTTTTGTATTTGCTTGACATATAATTCGGACATATAATATGTATCGACTAAAAGAATATTATTTTTCCCGACTAATGCGATTTATCTAATGATTATTTGCTAGTTTTTACTTCTTATCTTGTTCGTAGCATTTAACGTTATTATATGAATTGTACAGTTTGTAGAAAATAAGCGCGTCTGGGCATAGAGGGCAGTAACGACGAAAGTAACTAAAATTTGTAATTACTTTAACGGTTGACGAGATAAAACCATGACTTTAATCTTACTAAATATTTTGAAAATGGCTTAGTTTACCGTGGAATGAAAATCGAGATATAAGAACGACTACAGTTAATTATCGATTGTAAGTAGGAAAGTGTTCACACGAAGACGTGAAAGAGGTAGGAGGAATAGAGACACTCTGAAAATTCATATTTTCAACAATTTACTCCTAGGCTCTTGGTTTGGCCAGATTAGAGACCAACAAATCTCTTGTGGTCTTATTTTGTTATACAATACATAAAAATAATGATATTTACAAATGTAGGATAACGTTAGGCACTCAATGAACAAAACGGTGAAATTATAAATGGATTTCATATTATACATACTGGAGGTATTACGATGAATAGTTGAACGATATACTCGGAGAGTAGAGTGAGATACAAGTACTAGGAGATTGAAATTAGCATAATATAGCACTGATTTAGTTGAACGTAAAAAATCTTTTTCCTTTTGCAGCAGAACGATTTTTCTTCGTTTTTTAATGTTGTTTGCGATCCGATTACTATTCGAACGTGGAATGTTGGAGGTTGGGTAACAAGCATGTTTTTTATGTGGAATGTGCTCGCACGATGTCTCACGTTTTAAATTAAGACAATTTAAATTAAGTCACTTTACCTACGTAAGTACCTCACTGCTGTTGTTACATTAATTTCTCTTGTATTCACTGGCCTTTGCGTTCATTACTGTGAACAGTGGACATCGAAAGGAAAGATCGATCACTATTCCGATTTCTTGAAATCAGACGTGATTTTCCTGTATTCTACGAATGTCCGTAGACTAGAGTCGTTTCTATCTCGAAACATCTTTTACGTTAAAAGTAATCGTTACGGTTCTACGGTTTCGACCTTTTTTTTTTTTTTTTTGCATCCGGATTTACTGTAATCGCAGTCTGTCGTTCATAGTTTGAAAATTTCCATTAACATAGAGCTCACATACACTATCCCCATTTACGACGCAAAATGAAAAAGAAAGTCACAGTCTATACATTTGAGAGTGTAACTTTTCGATCGTCATCGAACCGATTCGATGAACGTTGCGATTAGATGTTCGCTTTTCTTTTACACGAGATAATATTAACGATCGAGTCATATACAAATTGTGACATATCATATTGTTTCAAGTTATTATCTGACATAGAGTCCACATTACGCAGAATAAAATAAGTTATACGATTTGTCTATTTTTCATTAAAATATTATGATACAAATTACAATTATTTATAGTTTAGGGTTTAAGAGCCGTTAGTTGAAACTATAAAATCTTTATTAATCACTTTAGTGTTAACTAAAAAGTGCATCTATATATAGGTATAATTTCGTTTTATACAGTGGTTCTTACACTTGTTTTCATACTGCGCGTGTGCGTGCGTGCGTCGTGCGTGTCTGCGTGTGTGTGTGTGTGTGTGTGTGTGTGTGTGTATGCGCGCGTGTATATGTGTATGTGTTTTCGTTCGTTCGTTCGTCGAGATGACGATCGTCATTTACGAAATATAAAGGTATATTCCTGGCGATCATCGCTTCAATTTTGCTGCTATTGAACTATTATATTCTGTATATAGCATCGTCACGTGGTGTACACTTAGTAGCAAAAGAATACGAAAGGCTGCTGTACATTTGGTCAATAAAACGTATCACCGAAACTTTTATTACTTGCCCTGTGTGTCGTAAGATTTTATATTTGGTACTGTATGCTAACGACCCTTAACCCTTCGATAATATCACAGATGAATGAGTTTCCGTGTTGTGCGTTACGCATCGCTACCTAAGGTTCCTAACAAGTGCGTTAATCCTTTCAATTTTTTCACTGAGCATTCGTCTCTCCGAATCAAGAGCCGTTCTCGCGGATAACAGTTCGTATATCCTTCGCTCTAGGTGAATAGTTTCGGAACGCAAGTTGTTCGACTGTGCCACCAATTTTGATGTTTCGCTCGTCAGAATTTTCTTTTCCATTGCTTTTTCTGAAACGGAAGAAAATAAACGGGCAACGGAAGGAATGAAAACGCCTCGGTTAATGCGAAAGACAAAATAGAATTTGCCGTTGAAGATCTTCTCGTCGTACCTTTGGAATATTCGCTGTAAGCAAGCATGATGTCCTCGATGCCGGTCCACTTGGGCCTTTCGTTCTTCCCACCGACGTGGTCGTCTACATTGTCGTCCACGATCTTAATATCCACGATCTTGCAATGTTGCTTCACCCCATTTTCACCGGGCATGGGCAAAGCAGGATAACCCACGGAGACGATGTTCGGAACCAAAGGTGGTAGAGGTGGTGGTCGTTCTGGAACTTGCTTTACTTTTACTCTGTCCAGTAGTCTCATCTTTTGAGGCGGTTTCGGCAATGTTGGTGGATTCTTCGAATACGCCTTGGCGATTCTCTCGCAGTACGCGGTCACAGAATTTGAACTTCTCCGTTTTTTACGATCTTGTAGAACGTACTGCCACGTTACTTCTGCCTCTGTAATAATAACAATGGAAAATTCGTTCGATATCGATATAACCATCGACGACCGATAGCAGAGAAATCATCTTAATCCGATACTTGCCATCTCTCCTGCCCGGAGGCATTATATCGAGGCCTATGGTCCTGAGAAAACCAACTTTCGGCTCGAAATCTGGCGTATGGAGCAATACATCCGGATGTTCTCGCGGTATTGGTAACACGGACTCGACAGTTTGCTCGGTCTCCAGAGGTACCTCCGGCGGATCTGGATTTAACCTGTACCGCTTCTCCACTTTACAAAGCTCTATCTCTATAGACGAAAAGAAAAGGAAGCGACTCATAAGCGTTAATGTCGCAGGCGACGAGGAACGAAGGGTGAAAAGAAACGAAAGCAGAAGGAGGAGAAACGTACGCAAGAGAAAGAAGAATAACGAAGAGCGCTTACCATTCCTCATACTTAAAGTGGTTAGACCAAACATGGCGAGAAACGCGAGCTTCTTCTCCGAATACTGTAACTTGGCTGGCGGACCTTTGATAATCCAGAGATCCATGTCCTTTGTTTCTTCCTCACCTTCCGAATCGGAACTACACGCGAGGCTTGTATTCCTCTCCCGTTTTCTTTTCCTTCTCTTCTCGGCTAGGTCTAACGAGGACGTCAGCTCTTTCGGTTTCTCAGGTACAAGAAAAGACTTTTCGCTCGTAACATCTTGTTTGACTAGAGCCTTGCTCAGGTCAGGCACATTTAACACCGCTGGTTCGCACTTCACGGAAATCTCAGTCAAATTATTGCACTTGTCGGTGAAACAAAATGCGGTTTTTAGCTCGGTCGAGAAATTCAACAGTTTCTCTTGGTATTTTGGTATCTGCAGGAGAACATTGGATACGTTCTGACAGGTACGCAAAACTTCCTCAGACTTGATGCTCTGCATCAACTGAGTCGTATCTATAGGCTTCTGTGCGATGTCGTTTATGCTGAACTTAAAATTCGATTGAAACGATAATGTGGACAAAACGCTATTCTGATCGCTCTGTATCTTAGACTCTACTTCAGGTTTAATCTCCTTCTCGAGGAGATTAAAATTTATAGGTTGAAACGTGGATT